AGTAAGCAGTGAAGATCAGAAACCAATGAAATATGAAGTTGGTGCTAATAAAATTATTCTGCTGTAACAAGTGTCTTAACAGGAGTTTAAGGCCTTTTAAATTAAGTGACATACTACAAGAGGTCTTTTGGATACTGAACACAGTATAATATTAATTTATGAAATGTTTTAGGAATGCTTAGTATAATCAAGGAAGAAAGTTGCTGTACTGTGGCAGAATGGGTACCATCAGTGGATGCTAAAAATATTGGATGAAAAGTTGTAGGCTAATGAGAAACTCATCTGGCACCAAAATATCATCCAACAGACTCCCTATCACAACGGGAAAAGCAGTATTCCAGTCAAGAGGTCAGTCAGTAAACTCAAAGTTGATTTACATGCCTATGTGGGAGTGGAGTAAGATCATAGCTCTTCTTTTCCTGACATTGTCCACTGAAGCTTGAGATTAGTCACCAAATACACAAGGATCGCTCAATAAATGTTAAGCCTTCTCTGATAGCTCTTCTGTGTGTCATAATAACAGGTAAACAAGTTTTTTTTTTTAGATTTATTTATTTTCACCACAAAGTCAGATATACAGAGAGGAGGAGAGACAGAGAGGAAGATCCTCCGTCTGCTGATATACTCCCGAAGTGAGTGCAATGGCCAGTGCTGCACCAGGAACCAGGAACCTCCTCCAGGTCTCCCACATGGTGCAGGGTCCCAAGGCTTTGGGCCGTCCTCCACTGCTTTCCCAGGCCACAAGCAGGGAGCTGGATGGGAAGTGGTGCTGCCGGGATTAGAACTGGTGCCCATATGGGATCCCAGCATGTTCAAGGCGAGGACTTGAGCCGCTAGGCCACAGTGCCGGGCCCGGTAAACAAGATTTAAATCAGTCTTCCAGTAGATCAGTTGACCCAAACTAAATCAGGACTGCTTAAAGATAGGGACCATTGATTTGAAGCTTTCAAAACGAAATGGAGTGGCAAAACTTAGTGGAAATATTTTAAACAGTGTGAAACTAGAATTGTTGACTCAAAATACTTTTATAATAAAAAAGCAACTTACTTGGTCTTTTAAAATTTTTTTTATATCTTTGTGTCATCTTTATTTTTTTCAATTTTTTTTATTATAGTTTTGACAATCTTTACAGAATTAATTAGGGTAAAAAGTTCAAGATCTACAGGAAAATGGGTAAGACTATTAGTTCCATATTGTTTCCTTCATGTGTCTGACGTAAAGCGGGATATTGAGGGAGAAGCCCCACCCAGTCTCCCACCCACCCCAGGTCCCCAATGTGGGGCATGCTCCGAGGGTCTTGCTCAAGTGGTTTTGAGAGTTCAACAGTTATGAATTGCTGCCAGTCTCGCCACTCCAAGCACAATGAAGTCGTTGAAGAATCCACTGGTTGACATAGTCCATCATAGAGTCTCTGTTTGCCCAGTTTTCACTGCCAACAGATAGCTGAGGTGGTTGATTGACTTGTTCTGTCCTCTGTCTCTTCATGGTTAGGGTTCTGAGTCTGGCAGTTCGACTGGGGGGATCCCCAAAGAAACTTCATCTGAGGTGTTCCCAGGCCAGATTCTTGTATGTACTAGCAAGTACAGGGCCCAGCACAGTCCATCGCCCCATTCAGCTGGTGGTTGCACTTGCTGGGCCGGCTCTACTTCCATCCCTGTCTTCCACTGGAACCAATGGGTGTTGCAGTCCAGCCTGGTTCTGCCCAGCACACACTCAGCCCTCACATAAACCAGTGGGAGCTGCAGCCTAGTTGGGGCGACCCACAATAGCCCCCACCAGGCCTGCCCCCTGCCCTGGTTCCCATGCTTGCCAGTATTTGCGACAGACTAGTCTAGTCTGTCCACATCCCTTTCAGCTCTCATACATGTCAATGGGTATTAAAACCTTGTTCCATCAAACCAGCTCAACTGTCCAGCCCACACACATGCTGTTGGTTGCCTTTCTGTCTAGCCACCCCAGCCCCTGTCCTGGTTTTCGTGCCCTTCCGTGGGAGTGGGAACCCAAGAAGGAGGAGCCCACTATTTCCCTCCCAGGTCACTCCCAGTCCCAGATTATGCACTCTCCAGGTGGTTCTGGGATTTAACTTGGCAGACTTAGCCCCCAGTGCCAGCTTCTGCCAGCTGATGCTGTGACTAAGCCCAACCAACCCTCACATATGCTAATTTTGTTTGCACCAGTAGGAATAATCAGCACAGCCTGGCTTTTCCCTGATCTAGCCCACATGAGGCCCACACGTGTTGTAGCCCTGCCTAGTCTGGTCTGCCCCCATCCCAGCTCATGCTCTCCAGTGGGAGTAGCTGTCCAGCAAGGGAATCTCCACCCCTTATTCCCCTGCCGGCTCTGCCCCCTCCTTTCCTGGTTCTCACGCGTGCTGGTTGGGCACTGTGGTCACATCTGGTACAGGTCACCTCACCTTGGCATTCTGTGATGTGCACTGGTTTTTGTCATGATCATCCTTGGCTTGACCTACACTCTGTTTTGGTGCTCCGATTTGCCAGTGGATGACGTGAGCTGATTCAGCCTGGTCTGCCCCCGACCCATGCCAAATGTATGCCAGTGGGTAACTTCCCACGGCCTGTTTCCTATCATGCTTGTTGTGCTCACCTGCAGGAACTGTGTCCTGCCAGAGTTGTTGCCCAGGCTCCTCCATTAGAACCTCTCCCTATGCCTGATTTTGGGCATACCAGAGGGTCCATGAGCCAGCCCTACTCAGCTCACCTCCTGTCCTAGCAGGAACTGTGGCTTTTCCTGACTGGCCTTCAACCCAATCTGGTTCTTGCTGTTGGATGCTTCAGCCCAGCCATGGCTCATCCATATCCACATACAACTCACACATGGCTCAGTAGACACTGAAACCTAGCCTAGTCTGTCCCACATCTACTCTGGTCTTCCAGAGCACCAGAAGGTGTTGGAGTCTAACCCGGCTTAATGCATCCTGTCGCAACCCACACTTGTGCCAAGGGAGACTACAACTGTTTCCCGTTCAGAACGCAGCCCCCATTCCAGCCCATGCACCCCTTGGTGGGAACCCAGCTAGGGCATCCCCTTAGCTCCCCAACCGGGCCTGTTCCCAGCCATAGATCACTTGCATGCCAGTGGTGGCTCTGACTCAGCTTGGCACAGCCCCTCACCTGTCCCGACCCCTGCCGTAGACACTGTGGCTTAGCGTCCCTGGCTCACACAGACCAGTAGGTGTAAGAGCCTAACTCGGCATGACCTGTGCTCCATCCTGGTTTCTAATTTTACTTATGGGCTAAGGTTTTGCTCAGTCCTGCCCAGTACTCCCATTCCATTACCATTTCACACATTGGCCAGCCATTGGAGCTACTTTGCCCAGCTTGTCTGACCCCCAGGTCTAGACCACATGTTCAGCAGCTGGAGTTATGACTCACCAGGGGAGTTTCCCAAGTTCCTCCACTTGATCCCCTCCCAGACCCAGTTCTCATACATGCCATTGGGTTTTAGGCCAGTGTCCAGCGTAGTCTGGCCTTCCATTTAGCCTTATATGAGCTGGTCATGAACGTTGCAGCCCAGCCCACTCCACACCCTATTTAGGATGCACACTCAGGTGCTGCTGCCTTGACCAGTCCAGACTGTTGTGGGTTCCTTAACCTGTGAGTGATGGCAGGCTCCTTGGTCCCATCTAGCTTAGTCCATCACCACCGTATCTCTTGAACTAACCTGTGGGGCTAGAATTTCCACAGGGTTTTGCCCATACATCCCCCACGGAATCTTCCCCTGGATATGGTTCTCTAGCGTGCTAGTTAATGTCATGTCCCTGCCTAATGTGACCTGTCTCCTGACCCACCATCATGTGAGCTAATAGGGTATGCTCCAATGATGGTGGTGGGTGGGTAGGCCCTGTGCCTGCCCCCACTTGGTGTACTCATCCCGAAGGGAGCAGCCCCTGGAGCCCAGGCAGGCCTGGGGACAGCTCACCACGTGCACGCAGTGGCTGGAGTCAGGGATCTGAGCATGAAGACACCCTGGCCTGAGACCCACCAGCAGCCTAACTTATTTGATCTTGTGACATCAATATCAATTGGTAATTTGAAATGTTAATTTAGCTTTACATATAGAATACACATTGTACTTGCAAAACGTTTTGATGAATCATTTTACTATTAACACAGGAGTTCATTTTAAGTGAGTGCATGTGGGAATTTAGCACTATTGCCCTAAATTTTGTGGACCAAATGCCTGTCCCTATGGCAGCATTTCTTCAATTTTTTCTGGAATACGTGCACTTGAAGAGAAGCCATCTGCAACACAGATCTATTTTGGCAAGGACTGCATGTGGCAGTCCTTTCAGAAGATTCATAATTCACATTAGTGTATGAAAAACTCCGAAGTCAGGGAAGGAACCTAGCATACATAGCCTTTATATCTGACCACAGCCATGACCACAAACAGTGAGGAGTGCTGTTTAAACAGTAACAGTTGGCCTCAAATAAATAACAAATTCAAACATCAACAAGGATTTTGCAGAACTTTTCTCACTATTATACAGTCATGTATTTAGCTTTGAGGTCTGGACCCCTATCTGAGGAGAGCTGGAAGTGACATGTGCCAACTGGCTCCCTTGGCAGCTCTGTTAATTCCATCTGGATGAGCAGAGATGAGCCATCTAGGGATTTAGACTCTGACTCACAATGAAGAAAATTTCTTCAGTTCATTTATGATGAATTTGGGATCATTAGACATTACAAGAACCACTGACTGAGAAAATATTAAGGACCTTGCACTAGCGACACTGGTAGAGAGGTACAAGCAGAAGGCAGGTTCTTAACTTGTATCTAGCATGAAATTGATAAGCAATGTCACGCTTTGAGATGCTGGAAGGCTGAGTCCTTTCACGTAAGCCTCATGTCAGTTAAATTTTATGACTGATACTAGTAGACTGAACTCAAATGCCAAAGAGAATTCATGAATAAGTATGTCTAGTCATCTTAGAATATATTTAATACCAAAATAAAGTTTTCACGTAAACAGGGTTATCTTAGCAGCTTAGTTTTATTATACCATACATAGCTGTGTTTTAATACATTTATCTCTGCTCTCCTAGAGTTGACTTTTTCATTTGCTATTTGTTGCTACCTGGCCTCAGGAAAGTAGGATAAATAAAACTTGCTCCCTGGAAACATGAAGCAGTGTTGAACTTCTCAGTAGAACTTTGATGTAGATTTCCATGTGAGGTTTTCTTCCTCTTCTTAAATCCCGAACAGACCACACACAGCTCTTTCCTTGGGATATCGAGCACAACACTTACGCAGTTCTCAAATGACAGCCTGACACTTTGATTCCATGTCGTTGTTGGCTGAAAAACAGACAGGCAGACATGGTCACAATCTTACTGATCAGTGCAGATCAAATCCAGAATCCAGCCTAAGGGTAATATTCAACTTTTTTCTTTTTTAACCAGGAATTAACTGTTTGGATTTTTAAAGGTTGTAAATACAGAGAACACAAAAAAGATGTTATGACCTCCAGTACTGGCCACAGTGCCTGTTTGGCCTGTTACAGAAAACATTTTTAGATTCCAGGCTAATTGAGAAGTTGAGCTAAAGGTTCTAGGTCAGCTCTAGTTTGTCTGAGTGCTCCAGTAACAAAACAAAGTACATGGGAATTACAGCAAAGACAATTCTGACTAGGAGTGTAGCAAGGTGGCCGAGTTCAGGTTTTTGGTCAGACTAAGCAGAGTTTAAATTCCCACTGTAGTTAGTTATATGATCCCAGAAGAGTTACACAACTTTTTCTATGCTCCCATCTACAAAATAGGTGTTATAGTAAATGTTTTAATGTGTGCAAGGCCCTTATAATGCTGCTTATCATCTTTCTAGCTCTCAACTTGCCTTGTACCAAGGGGCGTAACCATCCCTTCATCATTTGATTCTTTTCCCTTAGCCATAGAAATTTGGAAGCAGAAAAAAAAAAATCATCACTTTTTTAAAGTTACAGGAAGGGAAGAAAGGTATGATTTTTTTTAGATTATAGAAGATTTTATAAAATTGCTCGACTCTCACAAGAAATGAAAGTTAAAAGTCAAAGGAAACAACAAACAAATAAACAAAGGAAACAAGCAATGGTTTTCTTTTGGTACTGAGTCTTTGATGACTTTTTTCCCAGTTAACATGTGAATGGAAAATGTTCATGATCAATTCATTTCCATGGGTTATTTTCATAATGGAAAAATCCAGTTTTTCTACTTGCTCTCTGGCAATGATCGTTTGCTGATTGAAACAAACAAACAAACAAAAAACCCTCTTTAAGACTTGGCCAAACTTACCACTTGGTTTAAAGCCAAGTAGACAAATCACATCAAACATACTTTAGTTGAAAGGGTTAGTTGTTGACTTTGGCAGCCTGAATTCCAATACTATTTTCAAAGTCCCTCCCTCCTAACAGATGGCACACCTCATTCTGACTTCAGTTTCTGTGTGCAAGTTTTTAAAGCTTTCTGGGTAGCTTGTCAAAATATTAAAAAAATAAATAAATATAAATAAATAAATAAAGCTTTCTGGGTAGTTCTAATGTACAACCAGGATTGAGAACCCCTAGCTTCGATAACATCATGTTTTATTTCTACACCTTTAATAATACAATGTGGAAAATCTTTAGGATATGTTAATTATGTAAATGTTAAAATCTGAGAAAAGTTAATAAAGGCCAATAAAAGCAACCGGCCTCTTCATAGGTCACATACTACCTTGTAAACATTTCTTTATCTCACAGGCTGGTTTCTGGCACGGATCCTTTTGCGGCATATCCAGAAAACTAAAACAAGAAAAATGATTTTTATTTTGCTTTTTTCCATCAAGATTTTAAAAGCCCCTCTCCATGGAATTTTCTTCTTAGACCAGCTGAATGCCCTTACAATTGCTGGAAAATAAGTACACTAAGAAATACTCTTTCCCTTCATAGGATGAATCAACTGTATTTTTATAATATTCATTTCATTAGATTTGGAAGATAGAGCATTACATGGAAAAAGAACTTGAGGTCAGTGGACTTGTCGTGAATATTATAAAATCAATGTCAGGCTAGAATAGCCAAGTGCTTCCCTGGGAATTAGCAAGATTTGCTGCTACTGCTTCCTGAACAGGTGGCAGTTAAACTGCTAAAAATGTTTTAAGTTTTATAGAAATCAGCTTCTTTTAAAATATCTATAGCAAGAGAATAAATTTATGTGCCCACTATTTTGATCAGTAGCTTCTAATAATTTGAAGGCATAATTTCACAAAGAAAAAAGGCCTAGCAGCCTTTGCAGTTAATTTCACCAATGCAAATAATCATTTTTTTCCCCAGAGCATCCTAAGTTCTCAGTAGATCCAAATTAGGTCAGTACTGGGATGGGAAACACTGGGGGAAACTTAGGATATTTACAGGATGGGAGAAGGAAAGGCAGGTGAATTGTTGCAGGGCAAATATGCGACAAATAGATGATGATGCTGCTAGGAGCTGCTCTCTTCTCTCTAAATCAGACCAAGTCCTTGATGATCAGGGCATGTGTTCTGTAGCAGGTGCTGAGTTTTGTGGGACTCATCAGATCCCAGTTCCAGCCGATGATGTCCATTAGAGGCTCTATGGCAATCTCCAAAGGAGTCAATTTCACGTTAAGTATCCTGACTAAGCGCTGTTGTTGACCCACTTTCTGCCTGCATAACCCTCACTGTAGTTTCACTTGCAGTAGTCTTCATGACCCTTCCTATACTTCTGTGTTTGGTGAGCAGTCTTTCAACCCACTCCCTCCCACCAGGCTCAGGCACTGCAGTGGTAGATGAAGTGATTGCCATATACTGAACAGAACAAAGGAGCATATCTTCCTAGAATTCCAGCACCTGGAAAAAAAAAAATCGTTAAAATCACTACAACTGAATAGAGTGAAAACAACAAGGGAAATGGGAAGAGGCAGGAATACATACCACGTTAATCATCAGGCAAAAGCTTAAGCAACAGCTCCCGTACTCCCCTGACCTGTGAGAAAAAGACAAGTTTAACAGAGTACTCACTCTCCTAAAAGAGCCCCAATATAAATGCAGAATGGTTGAGCAACATGTGTACCATCAAATGATGCTGTATCTGCCATAAGCGAGAGTTGTTGTCCATGTAGCGCTCCTCTGGGTAGAGTTGCCACATGAGAGGCAGCTGCGAGGTAAGAAGGTGACTTGGTCTAGCTGCGTCACCTAAGGGAACCTGAATTTGCTGGACTCGTGCCCTTAGGAAACTCGTCTCCTAATGAAAAGGAATGATTGAAAATAAAACAAGACTTCAGAATATTGAGACTTGATAAAAAAAAAAAAAACAAGTTGCATGAAACCAAAAGAAAATAAACAAAATGTAAACAGTTACCTCTTCCACGACGGCCACCCACGTGCGCTGGTATTCGTCGCGGTAGATACCCTCTTGGTGAACCCAGAGGTGATCGGGTGGAGCCCCCACATCCTCTCCTGCCATTCTGGGCTTTGGGTTCCAATTCTAGCCCTGCTTTTCTCCACCTAAGCCTGCAGCACCCGCGCACAGGACACAGGTGTGACTTTTTGGGGTTTGAATGCACTCAGCAATGAATAAGGTGACCTGGGACTAGCAGCTGCCACCCAGAATCAAACTTCACATATGTCTGAATCGCCTAAATACAAGTAAGGGCATATGAAACTTTTTGCAAGACAACTGCAGTGACACTGAGGCAAAGTTCTTAATGCTAATTTTTTTTACAGCAAAACATTCAAGAATTCGGATAAGTAATGAGTTCTGTGGGAACGTGGAACTGGCACTGTAGGAGGCTGGGCAAGACTTCACAAAGCAGCGTCTAGCAAAATGCAGTTAGCAGCACGATGTGCATCACAGCATGCCTAAAGACATGGCTTCTGGCAGGAAGATAGGTAAGCAAAAGCCACTTCCAGTGACCTTTCAGAAGGCATTCTAAATTGAAATAAAAATTTCGTTTTAAGGACAAAGAACCTACTGATTAGTTTAAGAGACAGGTTACTTCTAATAGCTGGCCATTTCCAGAAGAGAATTTTCATATCAGCAAAAATATTTACGGTAGTTTCATGGAACATCTAAGCTGTGAAACTGTAGGGACCATGGTGATTTGGAGATGAGTGAGAGCAAATGACAGCTGCTTATCTATGTCCTTGTTTCATTTTAATAATGCTATAGGATGTTGCAGAAGCCCTTTTCTCCACAGAGGTATAGATTTAGTTTTGGTTCTCCAAAGCAGAAGGCCAGAAAAACCTGTCTGGATTCAATGGCACAGTTTCATTGTCTTTCTACCTTTTGTAGCATGAGGCAGACCAGGAAACGTTATGGTATTGACCTAAACCAGATACTCTTTCAAGGACAACAATTTCTGTCTTCTCTCTCTGCCTTTCATTGAAAACCATTTATCTTCTCTCAAAGGAAAGTATGATGTACACTGACAGACCCAAATGATCTGCTGTTTGCGACTCATCTCAGATCACACTTGTTTTACCCACTTGTACCCTTAGTTCTCATGTACATGTGTTCTCACATTTCAAATTCATCTAAGGTGGCACCAATTCCCATACCACCTCTTCTGATCCTACAGACTCAAAACTTATGAGTTATTTTGGGTTTCTTCCTTTTCTTCCATGTGCATATCCTCTCTCACTAATTCCAACAAGCACCATCACTACCATTTGTATCTGGACTATATTTCCCGATAAATGCCAGGCGAATATTCTCATTTCATTCAATGCCCATAATGCCTCCCAAGGCCCCCATGCCTATCTTAATATTATGGCATAGCCCATGGCCTGCCTCTTCTGTGAAAGCTTCCTAAAGTTCTTGCTATTGTAGGTAGTACTTATTTAAAGTGCAGATTTATATGCTAATTATAAATCAGCTTGCATATTTTAATCTTCTCATTTCATAAGTCCTGTCTCCTGCCAAATACAGTATGGTATGCTGCTTGCTGCTCAACAGCAATGATACACTTCTAGATCTTACTGCTCAATATTTCCACAAGCAGATAAATACATGTGCAGTGGGAGGAGAGGGCCAGAGTGGCAATTATGATCAACCATGGCTAGAGATTAAATTGTCCAGGCATAAGTTTGTTGCTACTCTACTATGTATCTTTTCTCAAGCTCATTTTTTCCCATTTAGCAGATACAATAATTCTGTCTCTCTTCCTCTCCATAGCTTAGGAAAGCAGATACAAAGAAAAACCCAGTAATGTCAAAATAAAATACATTAAAGCCTAAATTTTGGACATGGAAGATTAAGTGTGCCCAATTAATTTTTTTTTAAGTAGAAAGGGAATGTAGCAGCACTGTGGTATAACAGGTTAAGCCAGTGTAGCAGGTAAAGCTGCTGCATGCAATGCCAGCATCCCATAAGCACGACAGTTCACGTACCGTACTGGCAGCCCCACTTCCCATCCAGCTCCCTGCCTGTGGCCTGGGAAAGCAGTGGAGGACGGCCCAAAGCCTTGGGACCCTGTGCCCTCAGGGGAAAGGCCCTGAGCTCCTGGCTTTGAATCAGCTCAGCTCTGAACATTCGTGATCATTTGGGGAATTAATCAGTGGATTGAAAAATATCTCTCTCTCTCTCTCTCTCTCTCTCTCTCTCTCTCGGCCTCTCCTAGCTATAATTCTGTTTTTCAAATAAAATAAATCTTAGAGAAATTTATGATATTTAGCATTTCCTAAATTTACTTGGTTACAGAACATGGTTTGTTGTTGTTTTTGCTTTTGCACGTAATTGCTGTTTACAAATTCAGGACTCCTTGAAGTAAGATGAATTTAAAAACCTCAGGATAAACTCCAATCCAAAATACAACCCAATACATGGACTATAAACTTGTGCGACTGATGAAATATTACCAGCTGCAAGTATGACTGGCTTCCAAAAAAATGTTTAGATGAAGCATTTTCATGCAGTTAGTTAAAGATCCTGTTCTCATGGGAGTCACTCTGATGCCATGGTCAGAGAGCACACTGGCCTAGACAGACAACTCTTAGCTTGCAATTTTGCAATTTGGGCTATAAATGGATGATAACACAGAAGTGCTTCTTTGGGTAGTAATTTACAAAAATGATTTTTACTTTAGACAAGGAATTATCTTGTTTTAAAAACAAACTATGGATTGCTTTGATTTTCAGGTGTTTGGATGGGTTTTAGAATCTAATTAGTTGAACACAATTATTTTAGTTGAAAGGCAATTAATAATCTGATCTCATTACAATGAGTGAAATCACCCAGAACACTGGCTCTGGAATGTCCCTGGCCCATGGATCAATCCTGAGCCTGCCACTTCCTGTCTCTGTAACCTGGGACAAGTCACTTCCTCTCCATCTTAGTTTCCTAATGTATAAAATGAAATTTAAGGGTATGTCAGTCAGAATAGCACTTATATAAGATACATTTTTACATCTATTGACTCATTTGATTTTTATAAGCTTCACGGAGCATTATGATGTGGGCAGTTGCAAAGCTTGACTCCATTTTTGGCGATCATGTACACAAGATAGGTAAGTACATAGTAGAATGTCTGCCACGTTATGAGCTTCCTTTAAATGCTCCTAACCTTCCTGGGGTGACCATTTGGTGTAACAGTTAAGTCACCACTCGGGACTCCTGCATCCTATATCAGATTCCTGTTCATGTGCACCCAGCTCTGACTGCTGCGGGCATTTGTGGCATGAAGCAGCAGATGGAAGAGTTCTGTCTGTCCTTCTCTTTCTCACTTTCAAATAAAGAAAACAGTACAATAAACTTCAACGTTTTCAGTCATAAAAGGCATCCAACTGCTGCATAATATAATTATAATATAATTAGAACATAATTCTGCGATGCCTAAACCCAGGGACAAACAAAGCTGAAGACATCCCATGGGCAAATACTATCAGCAAACTAACCATTCTTGTCCGCTCAGGGCAGAGCCACCAGGCAGACACAGCAACTGGAAATAATAGATGACTTGGGAACAAAATGTAGGCACATTTTGATGAGTGCAATGTGTTTTGCACATTTGAAAGATTTCCAGCTTTCATCATTAGCAAAGTTGCTCATCAAAATATGTAGCATATCATCATGAAGCGTTAGGTACCAAAGGCAGTGCTTGGCACATCTATTACAGATCACTTCTGCATCGGAGCAGCACTTGGGAGTAGCTGCACTGGCAATGACTTGGGAGAAAAGAGCAAAATATCAGCTCTTCTTAGGCAGCACCTTGGGAACGGCTTTGAAACCAGGTAGAATACAAACAGAAATCAACAAACATCCGCGTGAATAGGCTGAGGCGGCGACATATAGTCATAATTTCCTTTGCTCTAGAATCGCTGCAAAAATCCACACACAATATCAAAAAGTTGTGAGCGGGAAGATCTGAAGTTTTGTCCCTCAGCAACTTTGCCATAGTTGCCACACAATTCTTTTTTATATATAACTTCACCATGTCGTCAAGATAAGGAATACTGAGAAGAGTTGCATCCTGGATGCCAAATGTGGTCTATACAAACCGAGCACCACCGAGGCCTCCCGATTCCCCGTTCCCTGTATCACACAGGTGGCTACAGGCCTTTGTTCAAAGTAGTAGCCACCAAGCTGATACTGCTTCAGACACAGTGTAGCACTGTTTCTGCGGAAGGTTACTCACATGAATATAATGTTTCTTGGGCTATTTACTCCGCTTCAACAACCGCTAGGCTAAAATTTCCAGGTTCCCCAGCCCGGGCCAACTAACTCAAGCCGCGGCAGCGACAAGAGCCAGTGGCCAGTCGGGGGGCATCCCGGGCCGAGGTCACTCGAACCGAAGTTACAAGCCGGATCGCCTGCGACCGGAAGTGGTCCAGGGAGAGTTGTACAAGGTTCAAAGGCTGCGACTTGTAAATAAAATAAAACAAAATCGTAACTATTTAGGACCGACTTGCAAAAAACAGTCTCCCTGGCTCCAGAGGCTGGCGTCCGTGGCCACGTCGCCTCAAAGGGCCCCCGAGGCGTGTAGGCCGCGCAGCGCTCCCCTCAGCCGACGGGGAAAATGGGCGCCGGCGCGGTGGAGGCGTCCACCCAGGCCACCGGGAGCCGCTCCACGGACCCGCACGGCCGCCTGTGGCCCGAGAGCGCCCCCTCCCTGCCACCCCTGCCGCTCGGCCGCGTCGCGTCGACCCCGGCCGGCCACCGCCCTCCAGCCCAACCGGCACGCCTGCCCCAACCGCCGCTTCCCAGGTGCTGCTGGGGGGGCCCGCCCCCGCGCGTCGGCCCGAGCCGCGCCCCGCCCCCGGAGAGCACTCCCCCTCCGCCCATCCCCGCCCCCGCAGCGCAAGCCCCGCCCCCGAGGAGGGGGCGCGCTGCAGGCCAGAGATGGGCGGAGCTCGGAGCAGGGCCGCGGGGGAGGCTGCACCCGAGCAGCCGGTTGGTCAGGCTGGAGTGGGCCCGAGGCGGACGGGAGCCGGGTTTGAGCAAGATGGCGATGCAGGTGGTACAGGCAGTGCAGGCGGTTCATCTCGAGTCTGACGCCTTCCTAGTTTGTCTCAACCATGCTCTGAGCACAGAGAAGGAGGAGGTGATGGGACTCTGCATAGGGGAGGTAAGTAGGTCACGCAGCCTTGCTGGAGAACCCTGCTGAACTGTCCCAGGATGGCCCCGGGTGGGGGCCGGCAGCACCGGGACCGTGGCAGTCCGTATGGACTGAGATCTTTGTCCACCCTTTAGCTCTATCGCAAGCTCCCAGCAATATTGCAGAAGGCCCGGGAGGACCTGGCTTTCCTTTAGCTTTTGGGTTATTTAATCCATTTGAAAAAAACTGCAGGTCAGACCAAAAAGACATCATAGTATAGTGAAGACATCGGAGTCCTGGGAAACAGGAAGCCGCATTTAGAAGGCCTTACCTGCCCTGTGCTCTTCCCTCCAGCGAAGCACAGATATGCACAAAGCAGATCCCAGAACCTAAGAAACCATGGGACTTTCAAAGGAAGCTAAAGTTTGCGCTGTGTGAAATGGTGTATAGGGAGGAGCGGGGATGAGGAAATGCACTTTAGCTGTTTACAGTCTCCAGTCATTCATACCCTATTTCTCATATAATTGCATCCCTGTATATGAAACAGCCATAATCATAATGTGAGCAATAATGTTTTCTACTTTTTCCCACTCTAGTTGAATGATGAGACGAGGTAAGACAATGTTTCTCTATGCATGCCTTCTAAGTCATTGTTTATTCAGACTTGTAACAAATGATATGTATGCATTGTATCTTAGTCATTAGGAGCACAAAGCTCCCTGGTTGGTACAAATTTTTTAAAAGATTTATTTATTTTTATTGGAAAGGCGGATATACAGAGAGGAGAGACAGAGAGGAAGATCTTCCGTCCGATGGTTCGATGTGTGTTTCGTTCCAGCTGTTACTTATCGAAGAATTTTTGCTTCAGATGTGCATGTGCCCTTAGCTGAGAAATATGGTTGCAGGATCAAATCGGAAATGAACCTGAGAAATTTCTTTCTTGATTTATATAAAAGCAGAATATTGCAAAGATTAGCAATGCATTTTGCTAGTTTCCATTTTTTGTGCTTGATATGTTTTAACTTTGTCTCCTGTAAAATCTCAGTGAGATGCCAGCAGTTGGCTTTGTGTTTATACTCTCCTGCATGCAAATTGTTTACGGCTTTCTGCCTCCCCATGTGATGTACCCTCCACATCCCACAGATCCCCAGTAGCTTCACGGCTTGATCTGCTTCAACCTTTGGGTAACTATCAATTTCAAAGCAGAGCAAAGTATACTTCGGAGCCCTACATTCTCAATACCTACTGCTCTGAGAACTGAGCTTTGTATGAGTGCAGCTTTAGTACTGGTTCTTATTTCTATCATCTTACTAAGGTTGCATTATACGCTGTTATTTTACTTTAATTTCTTTTAAAAATATTCAATGCCCTAGTTCCCTTTTTCCTAATTTATCCCCAATAGGAGTGACTTCAAATTTGCATATACTGGAAATGAAATGCGCACAGTTGCAGAAAAGGTATGTGTGCTAGAATTTTACATGATGGAACCTTGCAGGTGGGAAGGGATTTCTGTTATGGGGTGCGTTCAGTTTGCGTTGGGTGGGTTCTTTCTAGTCAAATCAGATATAGAAAGAAGACCTCTTTGTGGGGTTTTGTTTGGTAGCAAATTATTGTTAGTGGATCAGGTTTACATAGTTAACTGTCACTAACCTTCTTTGCTTTTTCTCACTGCTTGCTTTCTGGTTCTTCTCCCACCTTCCTTAAGATCTTCACATCTAGCTCTCATTGTTATCTCTTTATCCTGAACCCCAGTTTCTACTCAGGCTTCCTAGTCTCCCTTGATTTTCCTTCTGTGTGCTCATACCCAAGCCTTTTTAAGGGTCTAATAGAATGCGTCTCAGCCTAGTTATGGTAGAAGACCAGTACATTTTTTCTCCAGTATATCCCAGATATGGAACTTCTGTAAACTAAAATGAAAATGAATTGCTTCCTCCCCTCCCAGCAAATTACCAAGCAACAACTACATATATTTAGTCCCACAATATACAAACTTCCACACCTGAACACATATCACAGAAAGCATCTCTCTTCCTGTCCTAAGCCACAGCTTCTTCAGGGACCCTGTCACATGGCATGTGTGTCTGCAAAAAACACTACTCAATCTCTATCTTCTGATACTACTAGTGTATACTTCCTTTTATACTAAGACTTGTTAATGCATATTACTTTAACAACTATCATAAGATAAACTAAACCATTTATGTCAGAGACCATCTGTACTTGATTTTTGGAACATTTTAATTTCATGTATAGCCTGCCACCTCTTAGATTATCGTTGCCTTCCATTGTAGGTACTTGCCCACATATTTAATACCTCTTGCAGTGCTTGTTAGTCCTTCCTTCCTCTAGTATTTCTGTGCTCGTGATGAATTCTCTCCGTTTTAGGTCATCTGCAATGTCTATTTTTCCATTTTTGGGTGATACATTTGAATATTGAGTTCCTGGCAGATACTTTGTTCTAGCACTGTAACATGTTGTCCTTTTCTCTGTGGCCTTTTGTTATTTATGTTGTGAGGTCATAGGTTTGCCAACTCTGCTTTTAATCTTCTTTCTTGTATATGCTGTGCCTGCTAGATACGTATAGTCCTTGCCCTGAAGGTACTTCCATTCTGCTAGCGGGGAAAGTTGTGCATATAAATCACAGCCTAACAGTATACATTCTAGCAGAAATAAGTGTAATTATACAAAGAAGTCATATGGAAGGGATTATTTGGAAATTGAAAGAACGTGAAAGAGTTCGCAAGGTGAGGGAGAATGGGAGTACAAAGCATCTTAGATAGAAAGGGCAGTGTGTGCAAGGCACCGAGGTATAAAATGAGACCATGTGGCATATATAGGGGAAAGTGCCAGAACATGCAAATCTTTTGTATCACTAGCTTTAAATTTTTGTATTTGAAAAACTTAAAGTTGAAAGCAGATTATAGAAAACAAAATCTTTGCTTGTCTGTATGTGGAAAGAGGTAAACTCTTTGCTTGTCAGTGAGACATATGGAAGTATCTTCAAAACATTCAAAACCTTGTGTGTGGCTCTCAATTGTTTTGCTCTCAGAGAAACCTATCTTTTAATTCAAGTTTACATGACCTTTTGGATGAAATAAGTGTGAAAGACTACTATAGCAAATAGTCTATAAATGTTGAGCTACTCTACATTATTTTTTTGCCCTTTAATTCCAGTGTCTGTTTCATACCTGTGGGACATCTAGATTCAGACTTGCCCCATTTCAAAGGCTCAGTAGACCTGTGTGCCCAGTGGCTGCTGTGTTCTAGATAGCAGATCTGTCTTCAAAAGCCTGTCAGATTTGAGCATTACCCCTTCAGCATCTGACAGTGCCAGGCTCATAACTTCTGTTGAAAGTTTCGAATCATTTTATTGTTCCAATTTTGCTTTCTCTGCCTGTCTTCCTAAGCTCTTTTATTCCAGCCCACCCACTGGTTCACTCCCCACATGCCTGTACCCACTGGGCCAGGCTGAACCCAGGAGTCTGGAGCTTCCTAGTTTATGTTCAGACCTCTGTTCCTTCTCTCCACACTTCCTTTCTCTCTCTCTCTTTTTATTAATTCATAAAAACCTCATTGACTCCCCGATGGATTCTGTTTGAGCCTGATCTATTATCTCAGCTGCCTGCTAACATTTGCCACATTCTAAATCTTCTCATCCCAGATCTGAAATTGAGTTCGTCTTCCATCCTTCACTTTTCTAAAGTTAAGATTTGTCTCCTATGATTAGCCTGATTTTAACCTGGAAATTTTCTGTCTCCGGTCACCCGTGGTTCATAAGTTGCCATATCTTGTCTAAAATCAGTTTTGTCTTTCTCTGCCATCTCCTTAGTCCAGGACTTCATCTTATTTCTATCTAAAATGATTCCCATCCTTCCAGCTTTTTCTCAAATCATCCAAGATCCTTGCACAGTCTCCCCTTGATTTTCTCAGACTTACCCTCTTCCATTCCAACTCCGTTAGCTGTTTTCTCTTCCAGATACCTCACTTCCACCTTTTATTGCTTTCCAAGCTCTTTTGGTTACCTGTAGATGGAGAGACCAGCAGCGGTCAAGAACAGATGTACTTGCCTATTTTTGCTATAAAATATTTTTTCTAACCTAAGTGATTTCTTTCCTCTGAGTTCTCATAGCATTCATTTTCTACATTACTTGAATATAGTGTCATGTATGTTACTTGCTGCTCAAGTGTATCCTTAGTATTTTTTTAAGATCTATTTTATTTTTATTGGAAAGACAGATGTACAGATAGGAGGAAAGACAGAGAGGAAGATCTCCCATCCTCTGATTCACTCCCCAAGTGACCACAATGGTCGAAGTCAGGGCTTCTTCCGGGTCTCTCACACGGGTGCAGGGTCCCAAGGCTCTAGGCCATCACCCACCACCCTCCCAGGCTACAAGCAGGAAGCTGGAAAGGAAGTGGGGCCATGGGATTAGAACCAGCTTCCATATGGGATTCTGGTGCGTGCAAGGCGAGGACTTTAGTAACTAGGCTGCTACACCAGGACCTGTGATTAGTATTTTGAACACTTTTTGTTCCTTTCTGTGACATAACGTCTTGCATATGGTTGTAAATCAAATAATTATGTTGCTCTTTCAAAACAGAAAATCCGTTGTTGATCTAAATTTAGCTTTGAAGTTTTTTTTTTTAATTTTTATTAAATGTACTCAAGTGTGTTGAGGTTGGTGTCTTGAAGCATTTCATTAACCATGAGAAAACTGTGAGTTATAAAGTGGAATCCTTCACCTGCTATTGTAATGTAATACCACTCTGTAAGCAAATGGAGATGTATAACCTTTTCTATAATTTTTTCTTTAGGTTGACACTGTCAGAATTGTTCACATTCATTCTGTCATTATATTGCGACGATCTGACAAGAGGAAGGACCGAGTGGAGATTTCTCCAGAGCAGTTGTCTGCAGCCTCAACAGAGGCAGAGATATCCTTAGAAGTGAATAAGAAGCTTTTATGTGCTCTGGGCTTCTAGGCCACAATGCTCTGCTTAGGTTTCCCATTTTTCTTTCTGGCAGCTGGTAACAAATCGCAATATTGACCCTTTTGATGCAGTTGTTTGTTTCCTGCTGCGTTGCTGTCTTCATACCTCTTCCTTTCCCACCGGATCCTTGCTTACAGTTCTCATATGGAATTTCTAAGTTTCTCATGATCTTAGTCTTTACCCTTTGGAAAGATTTCCTTTGAGACTTCCCCTCAAAAAATTGCAATTCTAAGAATTGAATGTGATATTACATGTTAAATATAATCCAAGTGTGATCATATAGGACATTTGCTTCCTGTGATCCGGACAGTAGACCCTAGCTATAATGAGTTAAATTTACACTAGTGGCATTGAAGTGGTGAATATTGTAGTCAAGTAGACAATTCTTTCTAAAAGTTGATGGTACACATCTATAGCATAAAGTTTAAAAAGTACAAAAAAGGTATCGCTTTTCAGCCTTTTGGCTGAGATGAAGTGTAAAAAGTACAAAAAAGGCATAGAAAGTATTTCTGTCCAACCTTTGTGCCAGTTCTGCCAGTGACCGTCTTTAAGATATGAACAAGTTACCAGTTTTTCATGCATTCTTATGGATGAATTCAGTGTATATATAAAATCATATATAACTATTTCATGTTGAGAAAAGTATCTAATATTTAATGCTAGCTTATACTGTTTCCTTTGTTCACTCACCGTGTCTCTTCATTATATAGAACTGTCTGATCCTGATGATGGCATGGTATGCAGCAGATGACTAATCTGTAGTGAATAACATCTTTACTCTGTGTTTTACAAATATGTGCATCTCTGTATAGTTCATCTCAGAAGGTGATATGGGGCAAAGGTGATATGTACATGTAGCTATGAAGGATTTGCCAGCAATATACAAGAAACCTGTTTCTCAATGTTCAGTAATGTCATATGTTATCAAAGACTGGTTGTGGAAAATCAGATCAGCAAAAAAATCTAATTTTTGCAATTTTAACGAATGATGTTCTTATGAGTAAATTTGATCAGCTGTTCACATTTTTTAAAGAGTCGTTTTAATTTTTTTCTGAGTTATCTGATGTCTTTTGCATTTTTCTGTTGTAAGTTAATAACTTACAAGAATTCTAGATATTAAGAAAATTGGTCTTTTGTGATGAAAATGTTTTTTTCTGTTTCATCCATGGCATGTGTGTTGGTTTTCCAGTCAAGGTTTTGTTTTGATATTTCTATATCATCATATTTCTGGATTTGTTGTATACCTTTGGCATCTCTAATTTTTAAAAACTATTTTTAAACAATTACAAACTCACACAAAGTTGCAAAAATCATGCAGAAAGACCTTAGTGCCCCTCACATAGTTTTCCCTAAAGGATACATGTTACAAATTAGATTAGGAGCCGGAGCATTGTTCCTGATACAGTGTATGTAACTCTGTTTTGTTACACATCCAGAGAGCAGTCAGGTACAGGGCTATTCAGCTGTGTACTAGAAGCTGTTGAGTTGCTTGCAAATGGTTTGTTCCTTTTGAGTCTTGCTAACACCAAAACAAACTTTCTTTCCTCGCCTAGATATCTTCTCCAGTGTTCACCTTGTTTGTTTCCCATCTGCGTGGCCTTCTTGCATGCTGACTACTGTCTTGAAAATTGTTGCTTCCTGTGTATTGTCCAGGTTTTTTATTTCAGGCAGGAAGGTAAGTCTAGTTTCTGTGACTGTCTTGGCCCGAAACAGAAAGTCCAGTCATTTGTATTTAAAACACAAACTTTACTGAGATCAAATCTTAGGCCATGATGATATATTACATGATTATCTGTTATACCTTCAAACTGAAGCTAGTCCATCCCCCAAATGGGGCTGATGGCTCGAGTTAATGCTGCATGTTACTAACTTTAACATTGCAATTACCATTTATTAAGCTGCTACTAGTTGCTGGACACTATAGAAAACACTTTGTGTAGATTACCTCATTTATGCTTCACTGTTATGTGAGACATTATTTCTCCCAGTCTGTAGCTGAAGAAATGAACTAAAAGAAATTAAATAGCTTTGTACATGAGTAGATATATGCAAAGTTAAATAATTTTTCAGCATTTGAAAACTGATATGTATATTATATTTAAAATGTATTGTTTCTCAGATTTGGTTTTACAAAAAGAATTGTTAAAGTAAGTAATTGGCAGAAAGACTAATTAGCATGTGTTAGAAGAGCAGCAGCAGCAGTCTAGGAAGTGACCGCATCGTAAGTTCATAACGGAAGTGACTTCTAAAGTTTTTCAGGTAGCACAGTGGTGGGGATTTGAGTGATCAAACAAGATCTAAACTGGATTAACTATGTGCAATAGTAGGTGATGTGGATTCTTTCAATAAACAAACAAATAAAAACCCTTGGGGCCATTGATGTAGTGTAAAATTCAAATCGCCACTTATGATGTCAGCACCCCGCAGTGGGGCACTGGTGTCTTCCAGCTGCTCTACTTCTGATCATGCTTCCTGCCTGCATATGTGGAAAGCACTGGAAGATAACCCAAGTGCTAGGCCCCTGCTGCCTGCACAGCAGACCTGGCTGGCTTTGCTCTGGCCCCGCCCTAAGCTGTGCATGGAAGATCTGCATGTCTGTGTGTGTCTGTGTCTGTGTCTGTCCCTCTCTTTGTCATTTTGCCACTCAAACAAAACAAAATAAATCTTGGGAAAACTTTGGCCTTTAATTGGACAGTGTAGGAAATCCTGAGTGTCCCCATTGTTTCATTCATCCTTCTGTTGCCATTAAATTGTAATAGGCTTTATTTTAAACTTTAAGATGCTTTGTGAGTCCTTATTAACATCAGAAATTTTGTTTCCACCTTTTGAAAATACCTTGACAGACACACAGGTTGGCTGAATTAACAGGTCGCCCCATGAGAGTTGTGGGCTGGTATCACTCCCATCCTCATATAACTGTTTGGCCTTCACATGTTGGTAAGTATGATAAAGTTGCAACGTTTATTGGTTTCAGAAACAAGTATCATTTTCCTGCTCAATTATATAAGCTATAGTTATTTTAAGCCAAAATTTCATTATCCTTAAGTAGATGTCAGTATTTTAATATGTTTTCCCATGTTTTGGAAGTAATGATTTGTGATAAGCTCTGCCACTGCTTGGTGCACCCACCTCCAGTACTCTGTTCCCACAAGCTGGGAGGCAGCAGATGCTGGCTCGAGTGCTTGGGTCTCTGCCACCTGCAGGGGAGACCCATATGCAGTTCCTAGCCCCTGTCTTTGATCTAGTCCATTCTTGGCTGCTGCAAGCATTTGGGGAGTGAACCAGAAGATGGAAGGCATCACGTTCTCTACTGCTCTTTCTCTCTGCCTTTCACCCTCTGTCACTCCGCCTTTCAAACAGAAATGAATAAATTGGTAAACATAAAAATGGAGTAAGATAAAGTCCCAACATGCCATTACTCATATGTATTCAGGAAATGAAGACTCTAAAGCCTGACAAATGGACTGATATTTAAAAAGAAAAAGAAGTATAACTGAAAATTGCTGGTTGCTGAATGGTAGTACTGTCCAGTAGTACTCCTGTTCTGAAGATTCAAAAGTGTTAATAATGACATTTACAAAACTGGTTTTTATAATGTGTTTTTCACATGATCTGTCCTTGCTACTGGTGTTTTTGCCTGCTTCTCCATCCATGTAGAATGCTTTTTCTCTGTCTTTGCTCCTTTTTGGTATTTATCGCTTTTTTTTTTTTTTTTTTTTTTAAAGAGGCATCCCTGTGAAACACCCACTTAATTGGTAGCCTCAGTTTTTTTTTTTTAAAGATTTATTTTTATTATTTTTTCATTGGAAAGGCAGATATACAGAGAGGAGAGACAGAGAGGAAGATCTTCCGTCCAATGATTCACTCCCCAAGTGAGCGCAACGGGCCGATACTATGCCGATCCAAAGCCAGGAGCCTCTTCCGGGTCTCCCACGCGGGTGCAGGGTCCCAAAGCTTTGGGTCGTCCTCCACTGCTTTCCCAGGCCACAGGCAGGGAGCTGGAAGGGAAGTGGAGCAGCCAGGATTAGAACCGGCGCCCATATGGGATCCCGGGGGTGCAAGGCAAGGACCTTTAACCACTTGCGCCACCACACCGGGCCCTATTTATCGCTTTTTGAAAAACTTTTTCTTCTGCTTTACAAGTCTCTCAAGAAAGTAGAATAACATTACTTGGAGAGCAAATTAATATTCATAAGCACTTAATTATTCATTACAGTTGTTTTCAAAGGATTTTTTCTTTAATCCTGATGGTGACCAGTGAGCTAGAGACTTTACCCCCTATTGTATGGAAGAATAAATGAAGGCTCAGGTGAGGGAAGTAAGTGGCAAAGCTGAGGTTAGACCCAACTATGTGTTGTTTCCACTATGAACACTACTATTCGTATGGGCCTGAGTTTATAGTGAATTCTGTATTCATCGTCACTGTAGTATGAATGGCTAAGGAAAACCTCTCATTGGTCCTCAAGGACTATCTGGTGCTCTATCCCAGTTAAATCACTCAAATAATTGAATAATTAGCTCTGCTCTGTTTCTTTCTGAGAGAAGTTTATCCAAGCTGCTGCAATATAATAGTGGTAGGTTGGAGGTGCCCCCCTTTTTTTTTAATAAGATTTATTTATTTTTATTGGAAAGTCAGATATACAGAGAGGAGGAGAGACAGAGAAGAAGATCTTCCGTCCGATGATTCACTCCCCAAGTAACCACATCAGCCAGTGCTGTGACGATCCAAAGCCAGGAGCCAGGAGCTTCCTCCAGGTCTCCCACACGGGTGCAGGGACCCAAGGCTTTGGGCTGTCCTCCACTGCTTTCCCAGGCCACAAGCAGGGAGCTGGATGGAAAGTGGAGCTGCTGGGATTAAAACCGGTGCCCATATGGGATCGTGGTGCGTTTAAGGTGAGGATTTTAGCCGCTAGGCCACGGCGCTGGCCCAGTCAAATTAAATTTTTACTAGTCTTGCAAAACATTTTCACTCAGATTCTGTTACATGGAAAGAATCAACACACTCCAAAATTTTCTAAAATTTACCTTTGAATCACAACTTTGGTTAAAACTTTAAGGGTAAACATAATGACATAAAATGACTTTAGACTATAGTATTTGTAATCCCTGATGCAGAACATTTAATTTTTGTTTCATGACTAGAAACCCTTAATTTTCAGAAAATATTTAGTATCTGTTCACACACCGCCCATCTAGTGATTTATTAAGTAACCACTCGATTTATTCAATAAAGATTTCGATTGCTTTTATATGATAAAAGCAAGAATGAATTTCGCATATGAACTATATTTCACTTTATGCATTTCTTTGGGTATTAATTTATAAGATAACTCCAGTTATGGATAAAAAAATTTAGAAAGAGAAACATCCCTAACTAAAATTCTTATTAAATGCCTCAAACTATAATACTAAGTATTGTCAGTATTTTGTAGATATGTTTCTTTTCTTTTAAGATTTATATTTATTTTTATTGGAAAGGCAGATATACAGAGAGGAGAAGAGACAGAGAGGAAGATCTTCCATCCGATGATTCACTCCCCAAGTGAGCGCAATGGCTGGACCTGAGCCAGGAGCCAGGAGCCTCTTCCAGGTCCCCCACATGGGTGCAGGGTCCCAAGGCTTTGGGCTGTGCTCAACTGCTTTCCCAGGCCACAAGCAGGGAGCTGGATGGGAAGTGGGGCTGCCAGGATTAGAACTGGTGCCTATATGGGATCCTGGGCACGTTCAAAGCAAAGACTTTAACCACTACGCTATGGTGCCGGGCCCTGTAAATATGTTTTAAAATTTTTACTTTTCAACCAATATAAAAAATGACCTTGTCACTCTATCACCTGCCAAAACCTGTTTTAAAAAGTAAGTACTCTTTGTTAAAGAGCACACATTACAAGAAATGTTTTCCATGCTCTTCTTTTACAAAACAACATTCTGATATACATGATGAATCTAAATGAAAATTCGAATGGTGGCTGAAATCCTGTCAACTTTCAGCCCAATCCAACACAAATCCACAGTTACTACACATAAACAATTCAAATTAAAGTTTATAATAGAAATGTCAATGAGTCATAGCATCAGTACTGATGGGTCCACTGCACTTCAAATAGGCGCAGCACATGTGCACGTGACAGACAGACTGCTCAGAAAAATCAAGGTATCAGAGTTATAAATAAGGAATACAAAAGTATGAACATTGCAATGTCAATGCATTATGGTAATTTACAAAAAGTAAACGAGACGAGATGTAAACACATCTGATGGTTCTTTGTCTGAGTCACTTTCCGCTGATTTATAAAGCTATGGGATTGTAATTCTTTATTAAAGATCTATTTTTATTATTTTTTCATTGGAAAGGCGGATATACAGAGAGGAGAGACAGAGAGGAAGATCTTCCGTCTGATGATTCACTCCCCAAGTGAGCGCAACGGGCCAATCCTATGCCGATCCAAAGCCAGGAGCCTCCTCTGGGTCTCCCACACGGGTACAGGTTCCCAAAGCTTTGGGTCGTCCTCCACTGCTTTCCCAGGCCACAGGCAGGGAGCTGGAAGGGAAGCGGGGCTGCCCAGATTAGAACCGGCGCCCATATGGGATCCCGGGGGTGCAAGGCGAGGACCTTTAACCACTTGCGCCACCGCGCTAGGCCCAGGATTGTAATTCTTTAAAAGAACATTTTCCTATGCTGCTGCATGCAATAATTTCACTGTTCACTCTTGACTATAATGCAACCTTCAAATCCCCTCGCAGAGCTTGACATATGTCATCAGGATTTCTCCAGAAAGTCAGCTAGTCATTATCAGCAGTCTTCAGGGCCTCAGTGGCCCTGTGAAGCTTCTTAATAACTGATGGCAGAGCCTCTGGGTTAGTCCCTTGCTCACAGAGTCGCACACATATAGACAGGGTTTCCATATCTAAGCCAGTATTCGAAATTCTTGAAATCTCAAGCAGAACATCCATGGTCTCCCTCACTGCATTCAGATTGGCCGCCCCGGTGCCGCTACTGCTTGCTATGGCAGAGGCCGAGGGAGTTGGCAAAGGGCTTGAAATATGAAATTATATTAAAGAAGCAAATGCACATAACTCAATACAAAATAGATCTGGAATGCAGAGTATAGAGATCCTACCTGGGACAATGCAGTAAAGCAAGTATATCCTTGCTAAGTCTATGCTGCTTTAAGTCACTGTGAAATTTAAATTGGGTTGCTGAAATGGGAGCCGTGAAGTCTTTTATCATGCAGCACATGTGTGCAGAAGGCTGGCAATGACACATCTGCATGAATCGTTCGCTGGCAGATGGTGTGATGGTCAGCCCTTTCCCATCTGCTTCACAAGAGAACCATGCTTAGCTTACAACCGTGCTCCTGTTCTGATGCTTTCATGCACCACAAGAACCTGTGCACCAACTTAAAGTGATGAGAAAAATGACTGCGTTCTGGCCTGCATCAGAGTGTCCTCGGTGTCAGAAAGCTGCAACAGTGATAGCAACTCTAACTTTTGTCTGAGAATTTCTACTGGAAACCAAAAAGGCAGTTATGCTCACCTGTGGGAACCTTTACATTTAATTGCAGAGATATTCTCTCTTTAGGAGCTTAAAGTATAACTTTGATTCACTGAGACCCCATTTATTCGAATGTATGCATTTCTGACATGTGATCTCCGACACCGGAGGCGCATCTGTGCACAAGGAGAGGTATGCGTGGGAAAGAGGGCCATGTGGAGCACCTCTGAAGTCGTTATATTGAATGGCCAGGAAGTGAAGGATGCACACACAGTGAGGACTGAGAAAGAACAATAGAAGAATACAAAAACATCCACACAAGCTAGATGACATGGAAAAGACAGAGAAGTGTGATTTGTGGATTTCTTGATGTGAAAACAGGATTTATGGGGCCCAGCGCTGTGGGCTAGCGGCTAAAGTCTTCACCTTGAACGCACCGGGATCCCATGTGGGCATCAGTTCTAATCCTGGCAGCTCCACTTCCCATCCAGCTCCCTGCCTGTGGCCTGGGAAAGCAGTCGAGGACGGCCCAAAGCCTTGGGACCCTGCACTCGTGTGGGAGACCCAGAAGTTCCTGGCTCCTGGCTTTGGATCGTCGCAGCATCGGCCGTTGCGCTCACTTGGGGAGTGAATCATCGGATGGAAGATCTTCCTCTCTGTCTCTCCTCCTCTCTGTATATCCGCCTTTCCAATAAAAAAAAATCTTAAATAAAAAAAAAAGAAAACAGGATTTACAACACAGTAAAGGTGTAAAGGAAGCTGTTCAACAGCAAGAGAGGAAGAGCAGGTAATTAATGTTCTGCAATCTAGCCGAGATAGATGAGTACTGGAGGGAGTTTGACATCCTCCTTCTTTGCAGATTAGAAGAAGTCCAAAAGAAACAGATGCAGAACGACTGAATTCCATTAAGCATGCAAATGCACACAAACCATTTTCTGTATTCTAGCCAGGATCAGAAACAGGCATGACAACAGTAATAAACTGACTCACTGCCTTCATTGAATTTACATTGTAATAGGAGTGGGGAGGATGGTCAGAAATAAATATGTCATTTATTAGCAAAGATTAATTGAGAGCCGAGTATGTACTTGATACTCTCTTAAACATAAGAGAAAAGCATACAGATTTCCTTCCTTTGTAAAACTTATTTTGTAGTAGGATAAAACAGTCACTAGGCACGCTAAGTCTAGACTATCTTAAAAGTATGTTATATAAGGATATGTATGAGGAGCAGGAAAAGAGGCATAGGGTGTATTTTGGACTGGAATCCGTGGTTACTGTTTTCTTCATTGACATTTATTGTAAAAAGGGTTTTTAAAAAGTTTCTGCAGACACTTACTGTGAAAATACTGCGTGCAATTCAAAATTTCCTTGCATTGAAGTAAGCTTATCTTTTAATTGCATTTTCACTATACTTTCTGAAGTATCCTTATGTTCAATTATGGGAATAAGTGTAAGGAAAAGGTGGATGATTTTGTTCAAAGGGCATAAAGTCCCAGTAAGGAAGAGTAAGTTTTGGAGATCTATTTATTATACATCATGATGACCCTGGTTAGTGACAGTATATCATATACTATAAAATTGATGTGTTTACATTTTGTGTGGCATGATGAAGCCTCCCAGAGGGAAGTAAGAGTTGACCACATCAGTATCTGGAGGCCGGTATGGCTGCAGGCTAGCACTCCAAGATAGGTAGGCCTTTGTACACTCTTCTCGGTTCTTTTTTTTTTGCTCTGAGATCAGGAACCATTGTAAGATTTTCAGCAGAGGCATGATGCAAACTGTCTTAAATTTTCAATGGATCAATGTATGCTAAGTTGGGACAGATTGTAGGGTGGCAAAGTTAAAAATGTAAAGAGCAACCGGATAGGAGGATGTAGTGATTCAAAGGAGAAGTGACTGTGCTTCTGTTCGATCCTGCTGGTAACTTGGCGGTGGGGAGAGGGAGGAGGGCACTGTGTTTCGAGAGGTAAATCAAATGTTTGCTTTAGCTATATTGAATTTGAAACATCTAATACTGACCTGGTCTGACTCTGGTCTGTGAACTTCTCTGTGCCTAGTGAGATAAGGCATTTATATCAAAGTGCATTATCTGTGTTAATGAGCATGTTGTTTCAGTTTAGAATCTTTCTTTCCTTAATGCTCTGTCAGAGGCAGCATTGTAGCATAGCATGTTAATCCAGTACCTGCAATTCTGACATCCTGTATAGCCATTGGATTGTGTTCTGGCTGCTCCACTTCTGATCCAGCTGCCTGCCCTGCTACTGTGCCTGGGGAAAGCAACAGAAGATGGCCAAGTGTTTGGAACCCACCTGGAAGAAGCTTTTGGTAACTGGCTTTAGCCAGTCTGCTGGTTCACTCCCCAAAGTGGCTACAACAGCTGGAACTGAGTAGATCCAAAGCCCAAGGTCTCCCACGTGGGTGCAGGGTCCCAAGGCTTTGGGCCGTCCTCCACTGCTTTCCCAGGCCACAGGCAGGGAGCTGGGTGGGAAGTGAAGAAGCCGGGACTTGAACTGACATTCTTATGGGATGCTGGCACTTGCACGCAGAAAATTAGTCAATTGAGCTATCTCACTGGCACCTAGATCAGGTAAATTGAAGACAAGAATAGAACAATGAGCTTGAGAAAAGCAGTTTTTGGGTGGCATTGTGGGGATAATAACCATCTTCAGTGGTTGTGAATGAAATGGAATGGAACTGATACTTTGATATGTTAGTTAATGTGCTAAAAGTTCTTTCAGTTTTTAAAATACAAAACTCTGTGAGAGAAGGAATAAATTTATTCTTTTTTAAAAAAGATTTATTTGAATGTCAGATATACAGAGAGGAGAGACAAAGATCTTCTGGCCGCTGACTCACCCCCATGTGGCTGCAACGGCTGGAGCTGAGCCAATCTACAGCCAGGAGCCTCTTCCGGGTCTCCCACGCAGGTGCAGGCTCCCAATGCCTTGGGCCGTTCTCCACTGCTTTCCCAGGCCACAAGCAGGGAGCTGGATGGAAAATGGAGCTGCTGGGATTAGAACCGGCGCCCATATGGGATCCTGGCGCGTTCAAGGCGAGGACTTTAGCTGCTAGGGTACCACGCTGGGCCCAGGAATAAGTTTATTCTAAGTAAGTGGTAAGGAATTGTATTTGGAGGTATTATGAATTTTACCAGGATTGGGCATTTGCACAGCACCTGGAACTCTTGTATCCCACTTAGAGGGCATTACTCAAGACTTGACTGCTCTACTTCATATCCCACCTTCTGACCGTCTGCAGCCTGGGAGGCAGCAGGTGTTTCTGTCGCTGCCACCCACATGGGAAACTTGGATGGAGTTCCTACCTCCTGGGTCGACCTTAGCCAAGCCCTGGGTGCTTGTGCACGTTGGAGAATAAAGCAGTAGATGGAAGAGATCTCTGTTTCCTTGTCTTCCCCACTCTTTACAATAAAGGTGAATAAATAAATAAAACTTTTAAAGATTAAATTTTTACCAATGTTTTACATTTGCACATTGTTTTGTATATGGGTGTGTGTTATATACATATACGTATACACACACACCCATATATGTATATTCAGTAGTTCCAGCCACCTTCTTTCCTATTTGCACCAGGTGCTATTTACTTGAGAAGACATTAGAGAAAATCTTTTTTTTTAGAGAGAAAATCTTAATGCAGATCAAAGAGATATAAATAAATACAAGGAATGTTTGAATGAATATCAATCACTGCGCCAACTGTGCTGACAGGGTTTTGTTTTGATATCTGATCTTTTGCATGTTTTTTATAAATTTAGATCAGTGGTAGGTTTTGTTATGTAACCTTGCAATAATTTCTAATGGTATTTGGTATTTGTTTATTGTCTCCATTTCAAAAATTAAATAATGATATAGTGCAGGGGTGGGCACCATCCAGCCCGTGGCCAATACAAAATCCTGCAAAATTATTTGGCCTTGCCCCTCCAAGGCAACTAACTGCAGGTAGGACTCAAAATTCAATATATCTATAGCAGGCCAATTTTTAAATTAGTCCTTGTGTATGGCTTGTGGGTGATGTTATAAATATCCAAATGGCTTTGGCAGGAAAAAAAAATTCCCCACCTCTTTTGTAGCGAAATTTTCTTTTAGTCTCTGGGATGTTGAATTGAATTATAGCAGAATCACTTCTATAAACTAATTTCCCTTGAGAGTCATCACCATGATATTTCTGCGCTTCCATCCTTTAGTAGCAAATCTAATATATGCACTTTAGTAGAAGCTGTCCACAGAAGAGCTCTCTGATGAAATATTTTTTAATCTTATTCTACACTCTTTCTAAGTCCCCAGGGAGGAGAATTACCAAGTTTTAGAGGGTAACTGATATTTGCAATTTCTTTCTAAATCACATTTTCGTAACAGGTATACTCTTGGACTAGACAATAGAGCTTTATTATTTAATTGAAGACTTTTTCTAACATTTTACTAACCCAGCAAAATATTTATTACCTCCAGCATTGTAGCATGGTATGTTAAACTACTGCCTGTGGTGCCAGCAACCCATATTTGTACTAGTTCTAGTCTCAGATGCTTTACTTTTACTCTAGCTCCCTGCAGTGGGTCCTACCTTCTAGCTTTGGATTGGCCCAGTCCTGACCATCGTGGCCATCTGGAGAGTGAAGCAGCAGGTGGAAAATCATGCTCTTGAAATAAATAGACCTTTAAAAATGTATTTACTTCCAGTGAAAGAACCTCAACTGAATTTGAACTGTGGTAATGCAGCAAGGTGGAGAAATCCACCATGGGGAGAGGGTTTGGGGAGGGGTGGGGAGAATCCCAGTGTCTATAACACTGTGTCACATAATGCAGTGCAATTAATAAAATAAATACATAAATTTTTAAAATGTATTTATCTAATTAATTTATGTTTGCATATTTGAAAAGCAGAGAGAAAGAAAGATCTGACATCTGGTGAGTTACTCCCTCGGTGCCCATAGCAGCAGGGTCAACCTGAAACCGGGAACCTGAAACTCAATCTGATGTGGGTGGCTGGGGTCCCAGCATTTGGGCCATCTTCTACTGCTTTTCACAGCACTCATTAGCAGTGAGGTTTGTTGCAAGCAGAATAGGATTCTACTCCAATATGAAATGTGGGCATCTGGGCCTGGCACGGTAGCCTCATGGCTAAAGCCCTCACCTTGCATATCCTGGATCCCATATGGGTGCCAGTTCATATCCCGGCAGCCCAGCTTCCCATCCAGCTCCCTGCCTGTGGCCTGGGAAAGCAGTGGAGGACGACCCAAGGCTTTGGGACCCTGCACCTGCGTGAGAGACCTGGAGAAGGCTCTGGCCCCCTCCTCCTGGCTTCAGATTGGCTCAGCTCTGGCCGTTGCAGCCACTTGGGGAGTGAATCAGTGGATGGAAGATCTTTCTCTCTGTCTGTGCTCCTCTCTGTATATCTGACTTTCAAATAAAAATAAATCTTTTTTTAAAAAAACGCTTAATGCTTAGAGGAATAAGAAAAAAGTGAAAGACCTTAGTTTAGTAGAAATAGACAGCAATAATAAACAATAATTGAATGGAAAAATTATTTCATTCATGTGCAGTATCTTAAAGCAATCACCAATTATTACAACTAAGATTCTTAACCATTGATTTGACAAAGATATAACAAAATTATGCAAACCTATATAACAATGCTGCTGTAGGCATTTCTTTCATTTTACTGGGTTTTGCTTTTTTAAATTATTGCTCCCACAAATAAGAGAGAACATGAAATGTTTGTCTTTGTGGATTTGATTTCATTCAACATGATCCTCTTGATGTTTTCTCGACTCTTTGTCTATTTTTACCTTCATATCTTGTACTGTGGGAGTATGGTCTGGAAAAAAAAATTCTTACATATTCCAATGTCCTGAAGCAGTTCTCTGTTTTTCTTTTACAAGCTTTAAAGTTTCATGTCCTATATCTAGGTCTTTATTTTGACTTGGTCTTTGCATATGATAAGAGATGGGCAGTTTAGTTTTGTTCTTCTACATGTGAACATTCAGTTTCCTTAGAGCCATTTGTAGAAAAGACTCTCCAGTGTGTGTTCATAGCAGCTTCATGAAATGTCAGTTGTTGGAAGTGCGTCAGTTCACTTTAGAATCTCTGTTCCACTTGTCTTACACGTCTGTTTTTATGTAAATACCATGCTGTTTTAATTACTGTAGCTTAATAGTATATTTTAAAGTGAAACACCCATGAATGGGCTATTTTTGTCTGTATTTTCAGATGTTCGAACACAAGCCATGTATCAGATGATGGATCAAGGCTTTGTAGGGCTTATTTTCTCCTGTTTCATAGAAGATAAAAACACAAAGGTATCGTGTATGTGTCTATATATTACCTCTGTCTATGTATTTGTGTAGAGAAAATTATCCTTGCAGTTTTAATATGATAGCCAGGAAATATTTCAATGAGAAACATCATTGAGTCAAAACCTGAAGAATATTAGAGAACAAGTCATATTACTTTCTTGAAGGGAAAACATGCTAGGCAGAGGAAATATCCAGTATAAAGACCCAGTATAAAGACTCACTGTGGAGCATTGAGGAAGTTGTGTGGTGACAACAGACTGAGGGCGACTGTCACCATACATTTCAGTTTGCTTCTGTCAATCCTAGTTTTGTCATTTAGTTAGTCTCTTTCCTTCTCAGAAGTGTATCAATTTGCACAGTAACTCAATCTGTCATTCCTTTTCAGAACCAAAACATAATGGGGTGTGGACAGATCCTGTAGGACCTTAGCTTTGTCACTGAGTTGAGGAGCTACTGGAAGTGACTGTGTTTTAGTAGAACTTGTAGGGACTGTATTCATCAATAGACTTGGAGAGGGAAAGTGAAATCCATGGTATCAGTGATACCAGTTGGGAAGCTATTGTAGTGATCTCTGCGGGAAATGATGGAGGTTGACCACAGTGATGGAATGGAGATTCTCTACATATTTTGAGGGCTAGTAATAGTCACAACTGCTAGCATTTTCTCACTTACTGAGTGGTGGGTACTTAGTAAGTATTTTGTGCATGTGCTCGGACTCTGACAAGAAGCCTATAGGGAATATTCACATCTTATTGATGAATGATCAGAAGCTCAGAGAAGTTACATGATTTGCTACATGGTTGCTTTTGTTGTTACTTATTTGGAGTCTGTTCCAATTAAATTCTGTCTGAATATTATGATCATGTCAAGAAATTTTTAACATGTCAGTCCAAACAAAAAGAAAAGTACTGTTTGACATTGTCAATATGATATCTTTCAACAATACCAAAAGTGTAACTATTTAGTACAGTGGTTATATTCTCAGAATCTGTATTAATGATTATTTTATATAATATCACTTCTTTCCAGAGGTGTTAAAATTCAATGCCTTAAACCTAATTCACTTAAATGCTTTCAGATTTGTCATACTTACATATTTGTTGTTATTATAAATAGTGATTGCTAAGTTTGGGAATTTCCAAATAATAGTTTAAATACTCTTACGTTTTTGGTTCTCCACATTTGTCAGCAATTCCTTGTTTCCCTGAAGTGGCTGTTGGGTTCTAGCCATCTTGTGTGGACTGTGAATGTGATGCTTCTTATATCAGTTGATTTCTGTGTCTTTGGAATCTCTGTAAGCGTCCACTTCCAGAGGCGACTTTAGATTTTAGGTTAGAGTCTACTAAGTTGCTATCCTCATTTGAAGATTACTCCTTCTTTGTGTGACATATCTTTGCCTTTGTTGTTGTTGTTTTGTGGGTTTTTGTTTGTGTGTTTGTTTTGTAGACTGGCCGAGTACTCTACACTTGCTTCCAATCCATACAGGCTCAAAAGAGTTCAGAGTAAGTATGACAGAGATGTATCTTTATATTAATGGGCTAATTGCAGTCCAGGGAATTGGTTATTCTAGTATATGTGCTGCCAAAGTGAGCACGAAATCGGTTATTCTAATTTTTTTTGTTTTATTTCTCCTGCTGGTAAGACACTAAGAGCTCTATATTTGTACTTAAACCCATTAGCAGCTCTATAAGAGATGAAATATCTTTGACAGTTTAGATCTTGGGCATCTTAGCAGTATCTTCATTGTAATTAATTCACCAAAATTATTTCTTTCTTTGGTGAGTTATAAAATAAAAACTACATATGCAGATTTTAGATTTGTATAGATTCATGCCTGTGAATGGATAAGCAAAATCCATATCCATCCAGTGGAATAGTATTTATAAAAAAGGAAAGAAGTACTGAAACATGCTACAGCCTGGAGCCGAGAACCTCCTTAGGATCTCCCACATGGGAGCAGGGTCCAAGGGCTTCAACCTTCCTCTGCTACTTTCACAGGCCACACACAGGGAACAGGATGGAAGGTAGAGCAGCTGGGACTCAAACCAGTGCCCATGTGGGATGCTGGTGCTTCAAAGTGGAGGATTAGCTTCTTGAGCCATTGCACCAGCCCCTCTTCACCTTTCTTCATTATTTTTTCTTTTTGATCCTCTGACTTATTGATTTCCCATGACTTCCCACGTCTTCAGTTTTCTGATTCTTTTCTGACTTACAAAGTCTTCTGTTGACTTTACAGTGAGATTTTCAGTTGACCTACTGTGTTCTAGCTCCAGTAATTCCAATTCTAATTTTCAACATCTTTATTATATCCTCATTCAATTCATGGATGACTTTCCTGATTTCATTTAGTGGTTTATATCTGTTTTCATTTAGCCCATTGAGCATCTTTATGACAACTAAGATAATCATTGAGGCCACTAATATTGCCTATTGGGTAAATCCTACACCTGTGGTGCCAGCACCCCATATATGTACAGATTCAAATCCTGGCTGCTCTACTGCTGATCCAGCTACCTACAAATGTGTCTGGGAAAGCAATGGAAAGTGACCCAAGTCCTTGGGTCCCTGCACCCACATGGGAGACTCTAGAAAAGTTCCTGCCTCCTGGCTCCTAGCTCTAATCTGACCCAGCTCCAGCCACTGGGACCATTTGGGGAATGAGTCAGCGGATGGAAGATCTCTTTCTCTAACGTTTCCATCAAAATAAATAAAGTTTACTAAAAATATTTTTTTATCTGAAAGGCAAATTTACAGGAAAGGAGAGACACAGATAGAAAGAGAGGTCTTCCATCTGCTGGTACACTTCCCAAATGGCTGAGATAGGCAGAGCTGAATTGATCCAAAGCCATGAGCTTCTTCTGGGTCTCCCACACAGGTGCAGGGGCCCAAGGCTTTGGTCCGTCTTTGACTGCTTTCCCAGGCCACAAGCAGGGAGCTGGATGGGAAGTGGAGCAGCTGGGACGTGAACTGGCACCCATATGAAATGCTGGTGCTCCAGGTGTAGGATTAGTCTGCTATTATACTATGCCAACCCCCCAAATAAAGAAATGTTTAAAAGAAAAAAAGACACCTTTCCTAGTTCTTACAGGAGTGGATGCATGCCAGAAAGACATTCACCATTCAGAGCAACCAGAGTTTCATATTCTAAGGATATTTCTTTTATAGAATTCTCAATGTTGTTTTAGTCATCTAAAAATTCCCTAAGCAGGTTGCTCCTGCTTCTTTTCCTTGTATCTCTGCCCTCTTGTTCCCACTGCAGCCTGAAGCCTTTTGATCTTCCACTTTACTGATGTCACTGTATTGGGTTCATTTTTAGAGCTTATATGACTCAGTTCTACTTTTCTGGTTTTTGTATTTGTTTTTGTTCATCTTCACCTTAAATTCCTTTAACATTTTTCATAGTCATTGTAAACTTCTTTATCTACTAATTATATTATCTATGAATCTTCTATTGACTTTTTGTTATGGTCATTTATTATTTTCTTGGTTCTTCATGTTAAAAAAACAATAGACATTAGACTAAATAATGCTAATCTCCAGAAACCACATATCCCTTTCTGTGTCAGGCAGATACGATGGAAGATTTATAACTTCAATCTAATCGGGATGAATTCTTCTGTGACTTTCTGTTTTGATTTGTTGGGATTTCAGCTGCTGCACCTTGATACTGCAGTCTTATCAGTCAACACCCATAAACCTTTTGAAAACTATTCTACCTGTTTTGAAAAAAGATAAAGAGAAAAATCATTATCTTCCATTCACTAATTCACTCCCTCAATGCTAACAATAGCCAAGACTGGGCCAGGATAAAGCTGGGAGCCCAGAACTCAGTTTTGGTCTCCCCCAAGAGTGGCAAGTACTCAGCCACTTGCGCTATCGGCTGCTGTTTCCCGTGGTTTGCTTTAGCAGAGTAGAGCCCAGGACTCAGGCTCAGGGATTCTAGTATGGAATGTGGGCATCGCAGGAAGCAATGTAACTACTGCTCCAAACACCTCCTCCCTCTATCAACTTCTTATAAATTTCTTCCTCTCGAATTGCTAGCTACCTTTTCATGAAAATTGTCCCTAAATCTCAGTCTCTAGATTCTTCTATTTCCTTCAGTTACTCTTTGCCTTGGTAGCTGTCACAGTGACTTTGCTTAGAACCTATTTCACTTGACCCAGATATTCTAGGTGTTTCCAATAGTAGAATTGTTCTTATCAGAAGCAGAGTCTGTCATGTGCTTTGGCTCTCACCTATGCGGATTCTGGGACTGTAGTTTAAATTGTCAGAAGCTCTAGAGGTTTCCTCTGAGAACAATTTCTGCTCATGTTGCTGGAAAACTCAGCAACATTGTTAAGTAAACTAATGGCAGCTGCACATTGACCTCTTCAAGGTTTCTAGAATCATCAGTTATAGTGTTTATTCCAAGTGGCCTTCTGCAAACCACCTAACCACCATGAAATTTTGTTTCATGAATTCTTCCTTAACTATTTGGGTGTGAAAAAAAAAAAAAGGTCTCTTGGAATTTGTGTTCTATCTAGTTGTGTTAAAGGGCCCGGACACACTACTGGGTTGGAAAAAGAGTGAGAGGAGCTGGAGTTCATGTTGCTTTATCATCAAACCAATGAGGCCTCAGAGTGCCATGAGATTGTTCAGTGATGAAGTTTTCGGTATGAGTACCTTCAGTGGAATGTAGATTGGTTGGCTTTGATAAAAAGCACATTTGTTTTTCCCGCTCTGGCATCTGTGAAATGTTTCCCCCAGGGGAGAAAACAGGAGATGAAGGCCACTGATGAACCCTAAGTTAGAACAAGTGACCACACATGTAAATGAGCTTATATAGAATCAATCTGATAAAGTCATTGGAGAATTTACATTTTCTCTTCCTCATGCACTGCGATCACTGGAAAGTTCCTGTGAAAACATAAGAACTTTGAACTCATAAGGCTTCCGTAAATTTGACAGAAGTAGTCTTGAATTATCTTTGGGAATAGAGAATATTGGCTCTGCAAGTGGGCTTCCACTTTGCTGTCAGATGAACACATTTTGAACTTTATATGCTTGGGAGTTGAATCACTTAATGAGTTAGAGCCATGTTTAATCTTTGAAGTAAGCTGTGTCACAAAGTCTCAATGAAAAGGACAAAGAACTTTGAATTACAAAATTCGGGGTTAAAAAACAACCTGAGCTGATTACCTTGCAGGTATGAAAGAATTGAAATACCCATCCATATTGTACCTCATGTCACCATTGGAAAAGTATGCCTTGAGTCAGCAGTAGAGCTGCCCAAAATCCTGTGTCAGGAGGAACAGGACGCATACCGGAGGATCCACAGGTACCCCGCCTCACTCATCCCTGCTGCTCTGCTGGGACTAGTTCATAGTTTTTTTGTCTCCTTTGTCTTTAGCCCTCTTCCCTTTCACCTCTGTAAGAAAGCTTTAGAGCAGGCTTCTCACATTCCATGGTGACAATCTCTTTTTAACATTTGGTTCTCTCCTGCTATAGTTCTTTTTGAAATATGAAAATAAAGTAAACCACAACATCTTAACAGCTCTGTTTCCAAACACTGGGTCTTGCCCATTAAATGTGTACTGTGTCAAGGTTTTAGTGATATAGTTATTTCAGAATTGTATCTTTGAATTGTCTCTTGAATCTTCAAATAAATTTACATCTCCCTCCTAATTAAAACACAGCAATGGGAGCTTAAATAATTCATATTAATCTAATTTAACTGGCAAAGCTCTCATGCAGTTTATCATTTTGTTATAGTGCATCACCATTTTGTTTTCCTTTCAATGTTTCCTTTGCCACTAACCTAAACTATTTTATTCATTTAGCCTTACACATCTGGACTCAGTAACCAAGATCCATAATGGCTCAGGTAAAATGTTTTTCCTTGAATATTGCTGCTGATTTCAGAAATATTACTGATGATTTTCTTTCCAATAAAATAAATAAATCTTTAAAAAAAAAAAAAGGCAGATTTACAGAGAAGAGGAGAGACAGAGAGAAAGATCTTCCGCCTGCTGGTTCACTCCCCAAGTGGCCACAACGGCTGGAGCTGAGCCAATGCAAAGCCAGGAGCTTCTTCCAGGTCTTCCATGTGGGTGCAGGGTCCCAAGGCTTTGGGCCGTCCTCCACTGCTTTCCCAGGCCACAAGCAGGGAGCTGGATGGGAAGTGGAGAAGCTGGGACACGAACTGGCATCCATATGGGATCCTGGTGCATGCAAGGCGAGCATTTTGCCACTGAGCCATCAAGCCAGGCCCAGTAAATAAATGTTGAAACAATAAAAATGAAAGGCTTTATTCAGACCCTTACAGAATATGTAGATGTCAATTCTAATCTTTAGAAGAAATATAGATTACTTTAAGGCTGTAAGTTTTTCACTTTTTTCTATGTCACTGAACCTTTTGCCCAAGGAGAACGAAGAGCTGGCTATCTTTGTGCTCTGCATTGCATGGCTTCTCTCTGGCTTCTTAATCCAGGGATATTCTGATGGCCTCAAATCAAATAGCCTGTTCAGCTTATCAGTCTTCCCCTGGCTGGCCATTGAAAATCATTTAGGAGTCCTGCTCTCATTTTTTTCCTACTTCCTCCTCCTCCCAACTTTTTTTCTGTGCTCATAATTGGAGTGCTATTGCTGGGACTAGGCTGTGGATAATGTTTCTCCAGCGCTACCTCATCTTTGTCTTTGCTGTTTAAGTGTTCACCAAGAATCTGTGCAGTCAGATGTCAGCAGTCAGTGGGCCTCTGCTACAGTGGCTGGAAGACAGACTGGAGCAAAACCAACAGCATTTGCAGGAGCTGCAGCAAGAAAAGGAAGAGCTTCTGCAGGAACTTTCTTCTCTAGAATGAAGAAGAGAACAAATGAGGTAAAAGAGCCTTTTTTTTTTTTTTTCATTTTGTATGCTAAACATGTTCTGACACAACTGTACTCTTTGCCCTCACTGAGAGGCATACATCTTCTGTCTTCTTTCATCACTAAATTGTACCGCGGTGCCTCTCAATAGTTCCATCTATGTAGGTGCCTTTCTAACCAAAGAATGAGTTCTAGCACATTTAAAGCAAGTTCCAAAGTGTGGTTTTCCAGAAACAAAGGATTTAGGATATAGTAAAAATTATGTTGAAAAATTACATTGTTTTTAGTATATATAGCCGCGAACGATAAATATGTCTTCAGACAAGAGGCGGGTCTGTTACATATGTTAGAAATGAAAGTGAGAATTCAGGAGATGAAAGAAACCAAAGAGGACCCAGATTCCAGTAACAACGCTAAAGGTTGTTTGGATTTTTTTGTTCTTGTTTCACCCTATGCAATTGTTTTACAAATTTCAAGAGATAATCTGCAGTTGGCTACATCAGAATCAATTGCTGAGTAAGCTCTGTCTCTGCAAGTAGAAACTAGAAATTTGCATGAATGCCCAGATGTTTCCAAAGCATAGTAACATTTCAAAAATACTAATCTAGTATGGATGGACTTTACTGTATTTTCCCTGAATCTCCACATCCACAGTGCCTCTCTTTTCTTTTTTATTTGTTATAGGAACAATGAAGTTAGTGTAAAATCAATTCAACTAACTCTATTTTGAAGAACTAAAAGTTGGATGACCCACTTTGCCTGACTGCAAGACTTACTATAAAGCTACAAAAATCAAGATGGTATAGTACTGGCAGACAGACTAACACATTGATCAGTGGACTTTGCCCAACTGATGTTGATGAAGCACAAAAGCAAATCAATGGAGGAAGGATGGTGGAGAAATTATAAATTCATAGGAAATAAAAGAATCTTGACCGAAACATCACACTTTTATAGTAGTTTTTGCTTAAAATTAACATGAACTTAAAATGTAAGATGTAAAGGATATAACATTTCAAAAAGAAATCATAGAAGAAGAAACTTCAGGACCTTGAACTAGCTGACAAGTTCTCAGACATGTCGAAAGCACAATCTGTAACACGAAGATGTTGTATTCGACTTCATCCAAGTTAAACACTTTTGTTCTGGGGCCATCATTGTGACACAGTAGGTTAAACTGCTGCTTCCATTGTCAGTATCCCAAATCATTGTGCAGATTTGAGTCCCAGCTGCTGTACATCTGTTCCATCTCCCTGCTAATGTGCCTGGAAGGCAGTGCTTGGGCCCCTGCTACTCATGTGGGAGACCTGAATGAAGTTCTTGGCTCCTGACTTCAGCCTGCCTCAGCCTTGTCTGTTGTGGCCATTTAAAGAGTAGACAAAAGATTCTGTCTCTGCCTTTTCAAGCAAAAAAAATAAATCTTTTAAAATGTTAAAAAGGCCCGGCACAGTAGCCCAGTGGCTAAAGTCCTTGCCTTGCATGCATCAGGATCCCATATGAGCACTGATTCGTATCCCAGCTTCTCCATTTCCATCACCCAGCTCCCTGCCTGTGGCCTGGGAAAGCAGTTGAGCACGGCCCAAAGCCTTGGGACCCTGCACCCGTGCGGGAGACCAGGAAGAAGCTCCTGGTTCCTTGTTTCAGATCGGCACCGCTCCAGCTATTGCTGCCACTTGGGGAGTGAACCAGCAGGCAGAAGATGTTTCTCTTTCTGTCTCTCCTTCTCTCTATAAATCTGACTTTCCAATAAAATAAGTAAAAAATTTTTAAAACATATTAAAACTTTTGTTCTCTCAAAGGGTTAAGAGGAAAAGACTAGCTACAGATTGAGGGAAATTACTATTGGCAACCATGTATCACTCTGGAATATAGGAAACATACTTGAAAGTCAGAAAATGACAAAAGGCAGGAATAGATGTTTTAGCAGAGGACATGCAAACAGCAAGTAAGCACATGAAAAGCTGTTGATCCTTGTTAGTAAAGTTAAACAAATACCTAACATATGACCCTGCAATTGTTCTCCTGGACATTTAGCTGCAAAAACCTATGTTGGCACAAAAACTTGTACACAAAGACTAATGGCCAAAATTTGAAAGACTCCAATGTTCTGCAACAAGCAAAAGTATAGCGTGGAGCACAGTTCTGCAGTGAAAATTAGACTATTAATAAACAGAACAATTTGGATGGACCGAAGGAGGATTATCCAGCATTGTGATGGGAAGAAAAGCCAATTTGAAAAGGCCTTACTATATATATATATGGTTGTATTTCTACTCATAGAACATTGTGGAAATGAAGAACAGCTGAAGGCCTGCCAGGAATAGAGACTGGAGGGATTGTGACATATTTATGACTGTATAAAGAGATGACACAAGGATTTCCTTTATCCTGATGCAACAGTTCTTTATCTTGGTTGTTGTATTGAGTACATGAATACATACCTGTGCTCAAATTGTATAGATCTATACTCAAATGAATGCATGTAAGATCTTGTGAAGACGAGTAAAATCAGTAGTCTGGTTAGTAATATTGCATAGACTGTCATCAGTGTCTTGATTTTTGAATTGTGAGACTACAACATGGCGGGAACTAGGTAAAGGGTATATGGAGCCGTGCACTGTTTTTCCAACTTCCTTTGTGTCTATAATTATTGCAAAATAAAGTTATAAGCTTTAAATAAGGAGCTAGGAAGTATGGTACCTGTTTATGAAATAACAAAAAGGTGATAAAAATGAAGACGAGGGGAATCATAATTTGAATATTTTACAATCTAACCTTAAGTGTAATATGTTCCTTCCCTTTTGTGTTTCTCATTTTCTTTGTAAGCGTGAGGTAAGAATAGATAGCCAGCAAGGTTCCTGATAGCTCAGTGTTCATTCTCTACAAGGAAGAGGGAACTGAACAAGACATATCATTACTTTTTCAGCAATATTAAAATAATGCATTCTAACACAATCCCATCTCCCTTTCTGGACACCATTTTCATTTTGAATCGTTCAGGGCTCAGGTGGGAACAATATATGCTCTCTCTTGTTCCACATCACTCTAATGAAACTACTTCCACCCAAGTCATGGATTACCTCCAGTACTAAATGCTTTTTTTTTCTTTTATTTTTTGAGATTTATTTTTTATTTTTATTGGAAAGACGGATATACAGAGAGGAGAGACAGAGAGGAAGATCTTCTGTCCAATGATTCACTCCCCAAGTGAGCGCAATGGCCGAGCCAATGCTATGCCGGTCCAAAGCCAGGAGCCTCTTCCGGGTCTCCCACACGGGTGCAGGGTCCCAAAGCTTTGGGCCGTCCTCAACTGCTTTCCCAGGCCACAGGCAGGGAGCTGGATAGGAAGTGGAGCTGCCGGGATTAGAACCGGCGCCCATATGGGATCCCGGGTGTGCAAGGTGAGGACCTTAACCACTGCGTCACCACGCCGGGCCCAGTAAATGCTTTTGCTGTCTTCAGAAAACTCCTCAGTCTTAACATAGTTGATTGCTTTTCGAAACCCACCTCTCCTGGCTTCTGCTGTTCTGTTTCTGATCTTTTTCTTCTCTGGCTCTCTTTCTCAAGTTCATTTATACGCATCTTTGTTTACTTATATGCAGTTGGCAGAAATCTGCATATCCATCCAATCCTATATTTGAATTGTGGATCTGCATTTCTACCTTTCACCTGCTAAATATTACCACTTGGCTGTCTTCATGGAACATGAAACTTAATTCATCTAAATCTGGACTCGTGGTTTTCAATATACTGTTTCATTTCCTTTGCATATACTCCAAAAAGATGAGTTAAATAGGAATCTTCTATTTGCTGGTTCTCTCCTCAAATGCCCACAACAGCTAGAGCTGACCAGGCTGAAGTCAGGAACTTAGAACTCTATCTTCATCTCCTACTTGGGTGGCAGGAGCCCAGACACTTGAGCCATCTTCTTGCCAAGTTGGCCTTAACAGAAATTTGGATTGCAAGTGGAAATGATGGGACTGTTATTGACACTTTAATATGGAATGTGAATACAGCAAGTGGCAGCATAACTCACTATACCAGACACTTACCCCAGTAAACATATTTTGTAAGTAGTATAGTAATATAGTAGTATATATACTATTAATAAGTACTATAGTAAGTTAACAAACCAGTTATACAATGCTTAATTTCTATGATGAGTCACACATTGTACGATGCCAGTACGAAGGCTACAATGTCACACTAAGTGATAGGAATTTTTAGCTCTATTATAATCTTTGGTCCATCATTAACCAACTGTCACAAGGTGCATGACTTTATGTGCATAAATATACACATACACATGGGAATTTACAAGGTTTATGCAAAATGAAATTAAAAGATAATACAAGGGCCCGGCACGGTGTGGCCTAGTGGCTAAAGTCCTCGCCTTGAACGCGCCAGGATCCCATATGGGAGCTGGTTCTAATCCCGGCAGCTCCACTTCCCTTCCAGCTCCCTGCTTGTGGCCTGGGAAAGCAGTCGAGGACGGCCCAATGCTTTGGTACCCTGCATCCATGTGGGAGACCTGGAAGAATTTCCTGGCTCCTGGTTTCAGATCGACGCAGCAACAGCCGTTGAGCTCACTTGGGGAGTGAATCATCAGACGGAAGATCTTCCTCTCTGTCTCTCCTCCTCTCTGTATATCTGACTTTCCAATAAAAGTCAATAAATCTTAAAAAAAAAGATATTACAAAAAATTGAAATTTAGAAACAGATGTATCCTGAAAGTTTATGCAGATGTGTATTATTAAAAACTATGCATGAATTTCAAACACTTTTGTGCCAAAATAAAATTCTTTTTTTTCTAAAGATTTATTTATTTTTATTAGAAAGTCAGATATATACAGAGAAGAGGAGAGACAGAGAGGAAGATCTGTCTGATGATTAACTCTTCAAGTGGCCACAACCCTTGCTGTACCAGTCCGAAGCCAGGAGCCAGGAACTCCCGGGTCTCCCACGTGGGTACAGGGTCCAAAGGCTTTGGGCCATCCTCGACTGCTTTTCCAGGCCACAAGCAGGGAGCTGGATGGGAAGTGGAACTGCCGGGATTAGAACCGGTGCCCATATGGGATCCTGGCACATTCAAGGTGAGGACTTTAGCTGCTAGGCCACCTTGCTGGGCCCCGTGAATTAAATCTGAATTTCTAAGTTCACTTTCTAAAAAAATCAGCAGTACATTGCATAATACCTATAAACCTATTTGCTATCAGATACCCCAGTTGTTATGCTCCTTCTGGGAAATCGCAGGCCCAGAACTACAGACTTTTGAAAATGAATGATAATTGAGAATCCAGAAATAAACTCACACATCCATGATAAAGTAATTTTGACAAGGGTTCCAAGAATGGGGAAGAGCAGTGCCTTCAACAACTTGATTGGACAATTGGATATACACAGGAAAAGAAGTTATACTTTTATGAGTAGGTGGGGTCCTCAAAAGTTCATGAAAAATGTGTATTGTAAAAAAAAAAAAACTTTGCATGTATTTTCAAAAGTTTTTTTCTTCTTTTGCACTGAAATAAGCTTATCTTTTCATTCCATTTCCATGGGCTTTTTGAAGTACCCTAGAGTTGAAACTACAAAAGCCTTAGAAGAAAACACTGCAATAATTCTTTTTGACGTTGGATTTGGCATTGGATTCTTGAATGTCAAAAGTGTAAGCAACATAGAAAAGTAAGTGACTTGGACATCATAAAATCTCAAATATTTGTGCATCAAAAATATGAAAATGGAGTAGACACTGGCACAGTATTTAAATCATCTCTTGGAATACTTCATGCCGTATTGGATAGTCAGGTCCTGGATACTGCACTTTCAATGCACTTTCCTGCTATTGAGCATCTTGGGATGTGGATGTGACTCAAGTTCTTGGTCTCTTCTACCCATATGGGAAACCCATGTAGACTTCCGGGCTCCTGTTTTTGCCT